CCTTGGCAGTACACCGCTGCTTCCAGAGCCCCCACCCCAACCTTGCTGTTTCTGTGCCTTTGTTACCGTTCCTCTAATCAGCTGCCAGACAGATTTTTATCGCAGAAAGTGGCAGCAGGCTCTGCTTTGGAGCTGGGCTAACGTGGTGCTGTAACTTGCTGTTTAAGTGTTTTTCTAGGGAATGCTGGAGTCCTTGTTTTTGCTTAGGAGTTCTAGAATCTGATCAGTTCTAGAGATTGATTAATTCTGGAGACCGATTGTATGTGTGGTTTACTGCCAAAAATGATGTATAAATGGTTAAATATGGTGGGATGAAGGTGAGCAAAGAGGAACTTTAACTGAGACCTAGAAAAGACAGGGCAAGGAGCCTTACAGACAGAAGCTGTGTGCATGCTATGTAGTCATCTTGAATGGATAAAAATTGCTCTGAAAATGCTCCTAGAAAAATACATTGATCTGGATTGTCCTGCTTGCCTTGGGAGTTGGAGTCAGGAATTGGGAGGGCAATGGGAGAGAAGGAGGATGGGAACAGAGTGCTCTCTCCACTCTTGAGCTGATGGAAGAAGTCTCTTGCAGAGCTATTTACTGGGTTCTGAGCTTGGAGTATGTCTGTCAAATAGAAGAGACTAAAAAAATTCTGTTGGCTTATTTTCTTCAGCCCAGAAAGTGATTTTCTCTGCCTTTATCACTATGCTTCCCAGAAACAGAACTATTGTATTTCTTCCCACATGTAACTTGTCACTGTCTTAAAAACTAACTTAAGAACAGAGTCATCTTCTTATCATCATCTGAAGCATGTCTGGGCCAGCCCTGCTGGCTGTGGAGCAGAGGTGCCAGTCAGTCAAGCTTGGAAAGCTGTTTTTAGAGTGGATAACTGTCCTGCACAGGGAGGGGCACATCCTGCCCCGGGGTCTGGCCATCAGCAGGGCTGTGTCACCCGGGAGACTGGGAGCAGGTGGGACAGGGCTGTGCTTGGGGCTGCTTTGAGGCTGTTCCTGTTGGGAACAGGTTTGAGTCCCAGTTGTACCCTTGTGCCCTTTTCTCCTGCCTGCCTGTGAAGGCCATCCCCAGCCAGCATCGATGCCAAAGAGCTGCAGAGGTGAGCAAGGCAGGGGCAGGAGCAGAGCAAGAAGGGCTCGTGCCTTGAGCAGGAATTGTGTGCCCAGAGCCTTGTGCTGCCCTGTGAAAATGCCCCTGCCAGGGCTGAGCCAGGGCCTGGGCTGCTGCTGTGAGCCCGTGGCAGAGGGTTCTGTTAGCCCAGGGTGGCCCCAGCCCACGGCAGATCTGTCACCAGAGGAGCTGTGAGGGGTTTGGTGAGCACATCCTTGGGATGGGGGGGAGAGGAGGCAGATCTGCCTACGCCTATCAGGTTTCCCCAGCTGTATCCTCTCATCTTTTTCTGTCAGCATATCTGCATGAACAGGCCATGAGGACCGTGGCTGGCTCTTGGGGATTTCCATGGGTCTGGCAGCAGGAGCTCTGGCTGGCCAGCCAGATAGCAGAGATCCTGGATGTGCTAATTGTGTGTATGCAAATTAACTCTGTCCTGCAGGCTTCCTAGAGCTATGAAATTCCTTCAGTGTTCCCGCTGAAGGCCGTCCCCAGTGGAAACAGCTCCTGGAAGATCGTCCCTGCCACTGCCAGGGCTCCCCTTCCCTGCCAGGGGCTCCAGGTGCCCCCGGAGCTTTGGGCACTGGGAACCCTTCATGCCTTGAGGTCAGCCCGAGGGATCTGCACCTGTCTGCCACAGAAGAGTTGTGACAGCAGCTCTCCTGTCCCCAGGAGCCAGCTGGACACAATGCTGTCCCTGAGCTGTCAGCTCCTCTCCAGCCTCTGCTGCGAGGTGGAACCGTGAGGAGGGTGATGTTAGGTGGAACCGTGGCCTGTTTATGCTCACAGCTTAATGCAAGCTGGAAATTTCAATTGAGAGGCTTTCCAGAATGCCCATAAAATCTCCAGGAATTTAATAGTACAGCAATTTTTCAGTGCCTTCATTGCTGGGCACCAGAAAAACACTGCAAAATAACAACTAGCAGGCACAAGATGTTCTTAAGAGCATCTTTACATGCTTTGCTTAGAGCTATCAGTGGGAATTTAAGCACCTTATGTAATGGGCTTTCTCTTCTAGCATCTGCTGCTTCACGGGAGGATGATTGGAGAGGGAATGTATTGATTTAAGAGGAGGCATTTGGGGCCTTGACAACTGTCCAGCTTTACGGGAAGAGCTGTGGCTGCTGGGTCGAGGAGCAGGTCAGGCTGATTTTGCAGAGTGCCTGCAGCAGCATTAGCTACGTAGGCTTATCTGCAGGGTGGAATCTTTACCAAAAATAACCCCTCCACTGGGTTAGATACCAGCATTTTTGCCATGTTTCAGGGATTTAAGTTGGACACCAGACAAGATTAAAGACTGTTGTGAACTCTTCACCCGGGCTAATTGAGACTGACCCTTGGATGCACTGGTGCTCACTTTTCTCTCTTTAGACATGTGCACCATGAAGTGCAGTCTGTGTCTGATAAGCACGAGGGCTTCAGGGAGAAGTCCTCTTACCTGTTGTAGGGAGGAATAATTTCCTGCTTTGGACTTTTTAGCATCCCTTCTGCTGAGCAGTGCATGGTTAGGCTTTAGATTTTGCTGGCAGTTATGAGGTGCTGAAGATTGAAAGCAGATTCTGTCTTCTGCTTTTTCTCTGTTTTTAAATCTGACCTTATTAGTAGAGTACTGTCTGAATATCTTGCAGCTCTCCCTGTCAAGACAAGGTGTGCCCAAGGAGGTGGTGTTGAGCTTGGTCCTAATGCAAGCCTTTAATCTGCATTTTTAAAGCTGTTTTTAAAAAAAGGCTCAGCACCCGCTGAAGAAGCAGGTAAAGAGAGGTCAGCTGGGCCCACATGTCTCACCCCCATGGTGAAGAGTTGGAGTAACCCCTGTGCAAGGGCCCAGAGCTGCACTGAGGGGCCAGAGCCCCCTGTGCCCCTGAGCAGCTGAGGCAGGGCAGCAGCAGAGCCTGTTTGAGAGGCACCCTGAACCAGTGACCCTCCTGGCTGTCACACTGCCTGCCGGGGGGACACCGCCAGGGCACAGCAGGCCAATCTTACAGGGATCAGGTTGACCAGTTTTATATTAAGCCACCACATATGTGCAGCACATGAGTGGCTGTTTAAAGAAAGCCTCTTACTTCCCCTCCCTCCCCCTCTCTGAAGGCTTATTTCTTTTGTCGCGTGTCATGGGGGCTGGCAGCAGGTTCAGAAAGTCTGAGCTCTCCCAGCTCAAGGTCATTGGGATTGTTTAAATATAATCTCCTTTTCTGTACTTTCTACTTTCCTACAACTTGCTATTCTGTCTTTCTAAAATTAACCTACTGAGCAGAAGAGGGGCCTGGGCTTTGTGTGTGGGTGCAGTCCCCTCAGGCAGGGTCTGTGTGAGGGCTGAGCTGGGGAGCAGGGCAGGGCCTTGTGGGGACCATCATCACTCAGCTCTGGGCACACAAAGGGATGGGCAGTCCTGTGTCCTGCATCATGGTGGTGCAGATGTGCAGAAAAATTAATAATACCCAGCATCAGATGTGATGTCTGTGCGCTTGTTATTCTGCAAAGATTAGTTACAGGGAAAAAGAAAGAAAGTCTGCCCAAACTTCATTGAACTCTGGCTCTGCTCTGCTCCTGCTTACTGCTCATTTAAATTCCTGGCCTCCCTTGAGTCAGCTGTGTTTTGTGTTTCATCCAGTTCAGGGCATGTGACAGAAGATACAGGATGTGTTTCTTAGACTTCTGCCCTTTCTTAATTTATTCTTTTTGTTTGCTCCATGCCACAGTTACTAAAATTGGAAACTCTTTGTGTTGCCACCTACAGAGCTCCAAAGGTTGGGGCAGTTGGGCAGTGTCACAGCTGAAAGTCCTGCGTCAGCTCTCAAAGGCAGAGTCTGGCTTAAGAAAGATGCAATTGTGAAAGGACATTCAGCACATCCACGTCTGCTTCTGTCGGAAGTGGGCTTTAAGGACTGGAGGATTCCATGCTTTTTGTTTCACCGAGCAGTGACACACACTTCTGAGCTTCCCCTTCAAATAAAGTTCAAAGCCTTTTATATAGTTTGATTCCAGGAGTCGAAACTTCAGGATAAAGGCCAAATATTGTGAAATTTGTGATCTCATTGTGAGAATAGGCAACAGGGAGGTTTGTTTAGGCAGAACTTTACAGGGAAATTCCTGGGTAACTGGGCTAAGTATCCTGGTTTTGTTTATTAACCACAATTGCTGCAGACTTACACTGGAAACATTTGAATGGGGGAGGAGAGAGAGGCACAGCTCAGTTCTGTGTCAGGAAATACCAGATCATTTTGTGTTTTCCAGGCTCTTGTATCTTTTGTGTCTGCCTGATCTGAGCCTTATCACTGTGGGGCTTTGGTGCATTAAGATGTAGAAGGAGTTGTGCACAGATATCTCTCCAGGCAGGATATGGGTAAGGCTGGTTCTCTGATGAAGGAAAGACTGCTTGAGGAGGAGGCCGCTATCTTTGGCAAAACATTTCTTTTTTGTTCAAATAAAGAAGTCATTTTCCTCACTGTTTCTGCTGTTCACTTTAATACTGAAAAGCCAAACATCCTTATCTGACTATTTTTCAGGTTTTAGACCTGTTTTATTTCTGACCCTATTTTTAATGAGAAAGCTAAGGTTTATTAGTAGCTTTGCAAAAATTTTCCACAAGGGGAGGAGTATTTTGATCCCCTGTAGTGCTAAGTGGAATAGCAGAGGATGAGCAGCCCTGGAGGTGCAGAGCACACTCACACCCCAGGCAGGGGGAGAGCAGCTGTGGGCACTGCTGGCCATGCCAGAGGGGCACTGCCCACAGGAGTGCCCCTGCTCAGATACCCGACAGGTGACACCGCTGCTTGTACACAGAGCAACAAAAGGGTCTCCCTTGCTTTCCTGCAGAGAATACCAGAGGAGCTGACCCTGGATGCCTTACTAGAGATGAACGAGTCAAAGGTGAAAGAAACAATGAAGAGATGTGGGGCCAGAGATGAGGAGTGCTCGAGGCTCAACGGGGCGCTGAGCTGCCTGCGCAAGGTGACGGAGTCAGGTACGCACGGCCTTCCTCTCCTGGGGCTGGGTGTCCCCAGCCCAGCCCCATCTGCTGCCCTGCACACACTGCTTGGCGTGTTCTGGGAGCAGTGTGTGGCTCTGGGATGTGTGCTGATCAAACCTGTCTAGAGCTGTCAGCTGCGTTTGGTTTGGACATCAAGTCAGATAAAGAAATGGAAATAAATGCATGTAGAATCCTCTCCTACTCAGTAGATTATATCCTTAGTAACCCTTTCTGTTCAGAGTTGTGTCTAATTCTCCATGGGTCAGTGACACACATCCTTGACTTACTAAATACAACCAGATTCCTTCTAGGTGATGCCTTTCCCAAATATTGCCAGCTCAGAGAGAAACCTTCCCCTAGCACTTCCACAGGCACTGTACAATCTGTTTGTACAAGAGCCTCTCCCAGCAGACTGGGACTCACGTGCACCACATCTTTCTTTGTAGCAGTTATCAATCTGTCACTGAAAGGTGATGTTTCCTGTTGGTATTATGACAGTTCATCCATTTGCAAATGGTAAAGATTAGTTAATGGAAAAAATCAGCAAACAGCTGGGTCTCATGTTTCCCTTTTTCTAATCTTTCTTGTCCCAGGCTATCAAATATTTCCCATCCACACTGTATAAACCAGCCATTGCTCAGGAATTATGGTATTCACCTCTTAGAAAGAAATGGCATTTTTAAAAACCCAGCCATATGTCTCTGAAAAGCTCAGATCAGGCTCTGGATGAGTTTTCGCAGCCTGGGGCGCTGCTGAGGCTCAGGGGAGATCAGTGCCAGGTGGAACGGGCACCGGAGCCCCGAGCAGCCCGGGCTGGGCTCGCTGCGGGCCCGCACTGACGCCGCTCGTTGCACAGGAGCGGAGCCGAGGGACGATGTGCCGCCGGCCCTCCCCGAGCGCCGGGACAGCTCCTGCCCGCAGCCGGACCCCGCGTGCCCGCCGTGCGCCCCGGGCAAGGGCGGCCAGGCGCGCTCCGTGCCCGCCGCGCCCTGCGAGCCCTGGCCCTCGGCAGAGGCGCTGCTGGAGCCGCTGGCGCTGCCCGCGGGCCGGCCCCGCGCCCCGCACAGCATCACCGTCACCCCCCCGGCCACGCCGCAGCCCAAGCGCCGGCACCGCCTGAAGCCGCCGCGGACGCCGCCGCCCCCCTGCCGCAAGGTGTTCCAGCTGCTGCCCAACTTCCCCGCCCTCACCAGGAGCAAGTCCCACGAGTCTCAGCTGGGCAACAGGATAGACGAAGTTCCTCCACTAAAGTAAGTTTCCTCCCGGGCAGGAGCTGGGGCTCTCCCCGGCAAAGGCTGCCCTAGGTAGGCAGGAAAATATTGGCAATGCAGCGACCTCAGGAGCCTGTGCAAAGCCACAGGCGTCTGTAAACCTGACAGCACATGCTGCAGGCAGCAGTTCCTGCTCTAGCAAAGTGTGTGCCTGTCACAGGAGTATCACAGCCTAAAAAAATCTATCTTTTCTTCTTTCTAGGTTCGGTAAGAGATTCTCACAGGGGTGTCTGCAGTGCCTTGCTGAGAGAGAAGAACCTGTGCTTGTCAGCTCCCTGTTGGCCATCCCTGGGCAGCCTCTGGAGGTTCTCCACGGGCCCTCCTATCCCAGAGCTTCTGTTAACTGAGCAGGAGCTTGGCCTGCCACAGAACCACAGGGTTTTACTTGGTTGCACCGGGTATTTTCTAGGATGACACGAGCAAGGCGAAGGAATACTGATGTTTCAAGGGTTAAAGCCAAGGGGGGCTTATCTGTGACCTCAGACAGCTGGCACAGATGCCTCTTGGTACAGGAATTTCACATCTAACCATTTGGATATGCATTGCCCAGTGTCTGCAGTGAAGTTAGGACACTTGTGCACTTTCTGAGGAAGCTGCAGCATGTGCTGGCATGGGGGTGTTCCCTGTTCCCTGGGTGATGGCTGGCAGGAGCAGGGCTGGGTTTCTCAGGGCCACTGCGAGTTCTGCCCATCCTGAGGTGTCCCAGACACCACCTGTAACCTTGGAAGCTAATGGAGAGAGATTGGAGCAGCTTGGAAAGTGTCCAAAAGCATCTGAGTATTGAAAGCAAGTATGAAAGTCCAAGCTAATGCCCTTTAAAACAAAAATCTCAAGAATTACTTTCAGAAATATAAAGATTGTAAACTGAAAGTGCCAGCAGAAATCTGAGCATTTCCCTGAGGAGACTGAGATAATTGGTGCAATAAATGAAAAAGGCACTAGAATAAACTCAAACAGAAATGAAGGATTTTGGTGCTCCTTTTCATATAGACCTATTGGCTGGGGTGAAGTGGCTGCTGTGGGCTCTGGTGAGTCCTGGACAATCCCAGACTGGTTGATATTCATTCAGTGAGGATTTAACCATCTGAGCCGATGTTCACAGCCTTCTTTACTGCTGTGCTGGGATTGTTTGGACGGCCACACCGGGCAGCAGCATTTCTAGGAACAGCAGCTAGCCATTCCAGCCTTTTCCAAGAGGCTGAGGATCACAGACGCCTCTAGGAGCTCCCTGGACTAATGATTAAAAAGACTGTGGTGCCATCTATGGTCAAGTGAGGAGACTGGCTCTGAGCCAGCCCTGCTGCTGTGCTGACACTTGCACATTGGGGTTTGCCTCACACGTGCAATATTTCTGTAGATTTCGTTCAGGAAATAATGCCAGAATTGTGAGTATTGGAGAGTTTTCAGGAAGTTATGTGCTGTAACCACTGGCATGCTGGTTTGGCATATGGAAGTCTATATCTTACTTTCTGCACTTAGCAGAAAGTTAGGTGAGCTCACATGCATGTTTTCATTCTTCTGGGTCATGCTGGCCCTGTCTAGAAAATTGAGATAATTTTCAGTGAAATAGAATATTCTGAAATCTACTGATGCTGTAGGAAAACTGGGTGATGGTAAACCAATTTGTGGTAAATCAATTAGGAGTAAAGTCTGACTTTCCACTTTAAGAATGGCTTAGACCTGATCAGATGAACTTCTGTAATCCCTAAATATAAAACATCATGATTTATCCAATCATATGGAAACAAATACAAGGGCAACTTCACAGGGGGCAAATCAGTCTGAGCTGTGTTCCTGTGACTCCTCACGGCTGGAGGTGCTGAGCTGGGCAGTGACTGCTCAGTTTCTGTGCAGGGTGGGGAGCACATGTCAGCAATGCTTCCTAAACCCTGCTCTTGTTCTCCAGCAGAGCTCTCGCAGGGATCCCCCCAGACGGTACGGAGAGACTTTGGCCTGGCTGTGACTCACAGGTGAGCAGGCTGGCACAGCGCCCGGGCAGGGCTGTGCTGGCACAGCACTCTGACGTGGCTTTGCAGTCGGCTCAGCTGTCTCACTGGCACGTTCAGCGCCCTACAAGTGTTCATTTCCCCTCGGACACCAGCTAACGTCACTTTTCCCTCTCTTGTCTCTGGCAGGTTCTCTACAAAGTCCTGGTTATCTCAGATTTGCCAAGTGTGCCAGAAGAGCATGATGTTCGGGGTGAAGTGTAAGTACTGCAGGTGAGCACACAGGGTTGGTCTCCTTCAGAACAGCCTGGGACTGGACTCACCACAGCCTGCAGTAATTCCTGTCTCTTCATGTGATGCACTTTTGGCAGTGGCATTATTTTTTCAGTCATTCTGACCTGGCAAAGGGATGCTCCTGGCACAACTCACACTTGAAGGTGGCAGCCTGACATGTGAATGAACCAAATTAGTTTCTCTGCCACAGGCTTCCCACCTCATCCTGGGCAAATCTTCTAGTGGGAGATGGATCTCTAAATAACAGCCAGGATATTAATTTCTGTTTCTCTCTCAGGCTTGTTAGTCCAGAGGACTGATTTTACTACTTCATGGTTGCTGGCTGAGAGTCAGTGAAAGTAATTCTATTAAAAATAAATCAGATGCTAAGATATGTTTGTGGTTTCATTAGCCTGAATAATAGAATTCTCCATACGAATGCCTGCTGCTCTGGGGCTGAGCATTCCAGAAGTCCTTCTGAGATTAGCATAAGAATTACAAATTAAGGGTAGGCTTCCTCTTTTTGGGGAAGAACAAGTTGCTATTTAACATGTAATGGTTATCTTTCAGATTAAAATGTCACAACAAATGTACTAAAGAGGCACCTGCTTGTAGAATATCCTTCCTTCCCAGTAAGTAATTTTCTACAAATTCTTGGCACTTCAATGTAATTGATTGTATGGAAAGAATAAAAAGTCTCATTAAAGCTGTTTCTCTCCCTTCTCCAACCTGTTTTTCAGTAACAAAAATAAGAAGAACAGAGTCTGTCCCATCTGATATCAATAATCCAGTAGACAGACCCACAGAACCCCAGTTTGGAACCCTCCCCAAAGCACTAACTAAAAAGGTACGAGGTGGCTGAGGCACTCCAGAGTCCCTGGGGAGCTGCAGGAGGGAGAGGCTGGATCTCACTGGTTGGAGTGAGAGCTTTCACTTTGCAGGGCTTGGATAGGAGACATTTTGTCCCCGTAAAGCAGGGGTTGTGCAGAGCTCCAGGTGCTTATTCAGCACAGCAATGCCACCATCAAGCCTGGGAACAAGTTCCCTCTGCTGTTGTGCAGCAGACACAGGGGAACTCCTCCTTTCTCTTTATTGCTCTCTCACAGTGTCTTTGCCTGCTTGCAGGAGCACCCACCAGCAATAAACCACCTGGACTCCAGCAGCAATCCTTCTTCCACGACCTCATCCACTCCCTCCTCCCCAGCACCTTTCCAGTCTTCCAACCCTCCCAGTGCGACGCCGCCGCCCAACGCGTCCCCCATGGGCCAGAGGGACGGGCGCTTCAACTTCCCAGGTAAACCCTGCCTGCCCTGCAGGGAGGGACCTGGGGGCTTCGGAGTACTGGTTCTGCCTTAAACAAGGTGTAAAAGTACCTCACAGACTTTTAAAGGGTATCAGCAAGATATCTTTGCAGGGAACAGATTATTGAGGAACGTTTCTCCTTTTCCTTTTTGGAAAAGGACTGAAGAGAAAAGCTATTTTTTTCTCCTCCTTTCCCTTTGTGCTGTACAATGCATGCTGCCTGCAATGTGTGCTCACCAGGGGCTTTCAGTCAGGAGGGATGTGCTTGCTGGAGCAGGCTGTAAAAGTGAGAACTGGAATGAATTACTTTACCAAACCTTTCCAAAATATAACCCACAATCAACACCAACTTTTAAACCGTTGTCAAGCATAACTGGTAGAGAGAAGTTCACCCTTCGTGCCCTATGGATTGAGAGCCCCAGTGTGCAGCTCTAACCAGAGCTGAGAGGGGCAAGTATCTCTGACGAGGGCAAAGATCTAAAACAGTGAGAATAAATGGAATTCCTTTGACCTGAAGTCACAGGGTGCTCAGTAGCTACTACATCTGGCCTTGAACACTGCTGAATTTTGCATCAGCTTCTGACCTGTGAATTCAAGTTGCTGTTTGAGCCTGCTGAAAAGGACCAGAGGCAGTTCAGTGTAAGGATTCCACTGCAGCTCCTTTGCATTGGGACAAACTGCTCAGACTCACTGAAAAAATAAAAAAGGCAGATGGTTCATGAGCTTCACCTTCTGTGGGGGCACCTCTACAAAGCTGAGACACAAGAGCACATCACATCACAGCTGATGTGGGCCTGCCTTGCACATCCCTGGGCTTTCCCTTTGCCACCAGGCTGTTTGAGAGAGGTGGCACAGCTTGTGTTTGATACCTGACATCTGTCAGGGCCCTCCCAAAATGCATGTGCTGAAATTCCCCCCAGCAGGCTGATAATCCACTAATCAGTTCCCAGCACTGACCTGGGACTAATTCATTGTATGCACATGAGGCACTCACTGATGATCCTCTAACTTGTTTGTGTTGTTTTGTTTTTTTTTCTCCTGGTATTTTTTTCGCTGTTCTTTTTTTACAAAACCCCAATTAATTAAAAAGCTGCCTACTACCTTCAGCATAGACAACAGTTTGTCTTCCCAGGTGAGTTGATTGTTTTAATTCTACTAACCAACTTCTACTGCCAAAACATAACTTGTTTGTAAACCTCTGCATGCTGCCCAAGAACAATCATTCTGCTTTAAAATACCTGTCTAAAACAATCCAGACTTTCTCTTTACTCAGGCCTCTCTCCCCTAATCTGAGGTGTGATTTATGTATTGAGATGGAACTTTGAATATTCAGCTGTAGAATATTTGTTTCCTGCTGTGGGATTCTATTCACATCCACGTTCCTCCTTTCTAAAGATTCACTTTTATGGCTCTGTGCCCAGCCAGAAGGACTTCACAGATAGGTGGGGGAAATGGAAGAGGACTGGGCTCAGCCAACATGCAGGCATAGGAGAGATGAGCATAGTTTAAAACCAGTTAAAGTATAAAATCACTTTGTCTGTGGTCGAGTGTACAATCCCTAAACAAGAAGCAAATAGTTGCTATTGCAGTGTTAAAACTTGCAGTCCATAGGAGATTGAAGTGTAGAAGGTGTATCATAACTGTTTCTACTTTCCCAGAAATTCCCAGTCCTGCACAAACAACACAGCTTCCAGAAACTGCTGCAGACACTAAGTAAGTAGAGTTTTAAATCTTTTCATTTGCACAGCATTTACGTGGTAATCCTCATGTCAGCCCAGAAGTGCTGTGTTATGGCCAAAACCAGATTTAACACCCAAGAATTCCCAGGGTAACTTTAGTCAGTGAGGGTGGTGCTGGTATTGCCAGTTTTATAAAGCTGAATATGACACTTTAAATGGTACACTAAGGAGTCCAAGCCTTTAATATCTAGTCCTGGCTGTGTGAAGGGTCAGATGAAACAGAAATTGGAGTTCTGTAACTTGAAGGGCACGGCCCACAGAGCTGCAAGCAAACAGCTCTTTCAGGATCCCAATTGCAGGGCATGGAAAAGCTTCCAGCCTGCATTGCCAGCTGCTCCACTGCAGGTGTTTCAGGGGTAGCCATGGGAGCATCTATTCCTGGAACACAGTGTAATAACAGAGCCATGCCACTGCCAAATCAATTCCTGCCACTTAATTATCAAGAATCACTTCCAATCTTTGTCTTACATTTGCCAAACTGAGCTTAGAGTCCTTCTGTTTTATATGGAGCAGGAATTGTATTTTTCTCTGCTTCTGTAACTGTCAGGATCTGTTTTGGATTGGCTGCTTCTGCTCCCTAACGGCAGCAGGGGCCCCCATTCCCCAGTGATGTCCATCTGCTCTCTCTGTTGCTGTTGCAGCGCTGCCCAGCAGCCGGGCACGGGCGGAGGCGCACGGGAGGCTCAGGTGGGTTTGTGTTTGCCCCGGGGTCTCTGGAGCAGCCTGTGCTGCTCTGCCCCCCCGAGGGACTGCGAGCACACCTCTCCCTTCCCTGGCTGGGCACAGGTGGAGGAAGCAGAGGCGGGGAAGTCGGAGCCCGAGGACGATGAGGATGAGGTGGAAGATTTGCCCAACCGGCGGCCGCACCTGCAGGGGATGATCTACCGCAAACCCAGCCAGACCAGCGTGTACCTGCAGGAGTGGGACATCCCCTTCGAGCAGATCCAGCTGGGGGACCCCATCGGCCAGGGCCGCTGGGGCAAGGTCTACAAGGGCAAGTGGCACGGGGAGGTGGCCATCAGGCTGCTGGAGATCGATGGCAACAACCAGGATCACCTGAAGCTCTTCAAGAAGGAGGTGATGAACTACAGGCAGACCCGGCATGAGAACGTGGTGCTGTTCATGGGAGCCTGCATGAACCCCCCTCACCTGGCAATCATTACCAGGTAGGGAGAGAGATCTTTCTATTGATTCTACTGGATAGGTATTGTAGAGCTAGCAATGTTCTCATATATAAACATTTCCTGTAGCTTCTGCAAAGGAAGGACGCTGCACTCCTTTGTGAGAGACCCCAAGATCTCCCTGGACATCAACAAAACCAGGCAGATAGCACAGGAGATCATTAAGGTAAGAGCTTATTATGCCAAGGGAGCCACTGGGTAGGGCCTCAGGCAGAGCTCAGAGCTGCACACAGCACTGGAAGCTGCTCCCTCAGCCTCTCCCCACACCTTCCTGCACGAGTCCCACAGGGGCCCTGCCCCCAGTTCCAGCTCATCCCTGACACTGCAGTTAGGAAGGGGAAATGTGTTAGAAAGCAGAGTATGCTTGGAAATAATAAAACCCCAAAAACATTTCCATCTCTGCTGTGTTTCCCAGGGCATGGGGTATCTCCACGCAAAGGGGATTGTACATAAGGATCTGAAATCCAAAAATGTCTTCTATGACAATGGGAAAGTTGTGATCACCGACTTTGGATTATTTGGAATTTCGGGTGTGGTTCAGGAAGGAAGGTAAGTGGAGGTTTCAGTGCTTGGTTCCAGCTCTGGAATGACAAATGGTCACATAGGGAAACATTTCCTGCAGTGCACAAGAAGCATCCATTGGTTTAGTACACACTCAGTTTGCATTGTGCCTGTTTGCTTTGTTTTCCTTTTTAGCAGAGTTCTTCCTACAGTTGCAGTAGCACAGCTAGAGAGTTTGGATTAAGCCTCAGAGCACAGAACGAACAAGACCTTAATGCCAGGAAGGAGCTGTGAGTGTCAGGCTGACACACGCCTGTTTGTTAACATGGCAAGAAAATTAGAAATAAAACATCAGCAAAAACATTGGAGTAAATAAAGCCAAAGCATCAGGTGCAGCACAGATATGGCCTCCACACCAATGTTTTAGTCCTGCTTCTTTCTTTTGGACTCAGGAGGGAGAATGAGCTGAAGCTGCCTCATGACTGGTTGTGCTACCTGGCCCCTGAGATTGTCCGTGAGATGGCCCCAGGGAAAGATGAAGACAAGCTGCCTTTCTCCAAAGCTGCAGATGTCTATGCCTTCGGGTAAGAAAGGAACACCCAGGAGTAGCACGAGAGCTTGCTAAGTGAGGCTGGCTACTGGCCTAAGCCTTTCAGTCAGTGCTCCCCTTCTCTCAGACTCACGATTCCAGCTGGGACACATTTTCCTCACCTATTCCAAAAGTCGTGGGTGGGACTGCACAGCCTCAGGCACCCCCAGCGCTCAGCTGCAGCAGCTGGAACAGTGCCAGCACTGGGTGCTCTGTCTGTCAGGAGCAGCAGAGGCCTGACCCGTCTGTTGGCGTTGCAGGACCGTGTGGTACGAGCTGCAGGCACGGGAGTGGCCCTTCAGGAGCCAGCCTGCAGAGGCTCTCATCTGGCAGATCGGCAGCGGAGAGGGAGTGAGACAAGTCCTTGCCACTGTCAGCCTGGGCAAAGAGGTCAATGTAAGTACCTCAGCTGCAGGAGCCCCTCACACAGCTGCTTGGCAGGGACAGAGGGGGCTGCTTAAGAGTTATTATACTCAGAACTCGAAAGAGAAAGGGCAGGAAAGAGAACAGAGGAGGATGGGATAGGTTTAGCCTGTGCCTGTAACTGTGGTGCAGAAGTGAACATCCTCAGCACGGGAGGGCTCTGGCAGCGTCCAGGCCCCCTGTGAGCAGTGTCTGCCTGGGCTCACACACATCCCAGTGCTCTGACAGTTTTCTGGTCTGCACAGTTGACCCATGAGCTGAGATAATGAGTGAGCCACCACTGTCCTCTGCAGGAAATCCTCTCGGCCTGCTGGGCCTTTGACCTCAGCGAGAGGCCCAGCTTCACTGTCCTCATGGAAATGCTTGAAAAACTGCCAAAACTGAACCGCCGGCTCTCCCACCCAGGGCACTTCTGGAAGTCTGCTGAGTGAGTACCTGCTGCTGCTCACAACACTGATGCCATGCAATTTGCTAACTGGTCATTTCTGAGCTTTATTTGCTTTCCTGGGGCTGTCAGACATGACAGGGTGGGAGCACTGCTCCTGTGCTTCTCTAGTTCCTGGGAAATGACGTGACTAAGCCATGAGCCTCAGACAGTTAGTTTCCAGCTTCACCATATTCACCTCCCTCCAGCAGCTGACTGATTCCCCTGTTTGTGTCAGAGAATATCCACAACAGCATTGGGAAGGGCCCTCACTGACCCCAGAGCGGTCAGAACTTCCCCAGTGACAGTAATGGCAGGTACTGCCTGAGGAGGGGAAGGACCCAGGAACTGTTTCCCTCTGAAGTGGTTGCGACTGCGTGGGTTTGAGGCCACAGACCCATCTGTGCCCAGTGCCCATTCACCGTGTCCTTGGTCAGTGTTTCTTTTCATCTCCTCAGCTGCTCGTATTTAGTTTCTCTTTGTTCTGATGTTTAACCCATCCCTTCCCTTCCTATAATCCTTCACTGTCTTCCTGTAACTCCTGATCAGAACCACCCAAACTCTTGACACAGGAACTGTGGTGGCAGCTTGGTCTCTGCTGGGTGTGGGGGCTTTGGAGTTTTGGTTGAAAATTCTGCCACTTCTCCTGTGCAATTTCCCCCCATTTGTACTGGATCCTTGACACACCAGTGGTGATGTCCAACAACTTTAAACTGCAGAAAGCTTCCCCCAGACTCTGGCCTCATCCTCACACAAAGAACATGCACTGAGCAGTGGAGCTCCCCCACCTCACCCAGATCCTTTCACACACTGCACTAACCCTGCTGCAGCCTGGTCAAGCTGTACAATGTGTAGTTCTCAAGGGCTTGCTTTTAATAACTGAAAACTAACTCTCATGGTGTCTTTTTCCCTTCCCTCCCATATTTCTTTGTAGGTTGTAGCTACTGGTGCAATAACGGGCTCCACCTTGCATGCTTCCATGTGTCGTATCCTAACCGGCAACTTGGACAATCACCTTCCATTAAAAAAGCAAAAACAAACCACGAAATTAACCCACGGACATAATCAACACTTTATCCGATTCTCCTCTCTGCCTCTGGCTTGGTGTGGGCTGTAGCTTCAATAACCACTCGTGTCTGCGAGACCCTCGTGGCTAACACCGGGCTCCTGTGCCCCGGCAGCTGAGACTCCTCTGGGCAGGGCACGGCCCCTGTGCCCGAGCAGGTGCCCCCCAGGGCAGGGTGCCTGTCCTGCCTGCAGCTCAGGGCTGTCCTGCACTGCTGCACCTCTGCGGGGCTGTGTCCTTGGCTGCAGCTCTGTGCCTGCAGTGACAGGGACGCTGTCACAGCCCTTGCACTGCAAGCCAGCAGGGCTGAGGCCAGGCCGCTTCTCCCTCAGGCACAGAGGCAGCGCTGCAGCCAGGGTCAGTTCCTGAGTGGAAGGAAGGATGGTCCTTGCTCTGCTCGGAGGGTCCCGTGCCCGCTGAGAACCAGGCTGGGGCAGTGTCCAGGGCAGGTCCATGCGGGTCGGCTGGGATCAGCTACAAAGCTGTGTAAAAGAGGAGGAAAGCAAGAGCAGCCTTCAGCTCCTCCCCTTGCAGATCCAGGCCTTGGAATGTTACAGTTTGCTTCTGTTTACATCGCTGGGCAGCAGGAGGACTCAATGTAGGGCCTTGGCAGAGTCACAGCTACCACAGCAAACATGTGCCTTCTAGAAAAGGTCTGTCTTCACTGGTTTGGAGGGGAGAGGAGAGGGACGGGGAGAGCACGCTCCAAGGGGGTTTCTGCTGCCTGACATCAAGCTCCCACATCATTCCCTGAGCCTCCTCAGGAAAGCTCTGAGCTGAAAGTGCTTCTGGCTCTGCCAGCAGTGAGAGCAAGGGGAGAGACCCCTTTATTTGTTTTTAGAGCCTGGGGAGGAGCACATGGGCTTGGGTTTGTTCTGTTGGGGTTTCTTAGCCTGTTCATGTACCTTGTCAAAACTCCCCTTTCTCTTACAAAGAAAATTCCGTCAGTTTTTCCTTCCCTTCTACTTCAAGAGAAGCAAGTGCCCACTGAAAACCAGTGTCAGGCTTCTACCCACGGTAGAGACCTGGGAAAACTTCCTGCTCCTCTCCCTTGGGCAAATCAGATTGTGCAGTTTCTTCCCACTGATAATGTTTGCATGAATAACTTCATGTGTTTGCTGCTGAATTACTTGAGCATCTCTTTGGGTGAACTGAAGTGAGAGCAGAACCAAACTCACTGCAGCTCCTGTGATGGAGCAGTAGCTTTGTAAGATGAATCCTCAGTAACTGTTTCCCCCTCCCTTCTCCTCTCCCTCCTCACTCTCTGCAGCATTAACAGTAGCAAAGTTGTCCTGCGTTTTGAAAGATTGGGCTTGGGAATCCTGGAGCCGAGTAACCCAAAGCTGTAGGCGGTGTCATTGTGACCATGCTGGCTGCCTGCTCCCACACAGCACCAGAAACCCTCCCTGGCTGCTCCACGCCGAGGCTGAAGGACCATCAGCCCAGCCCCGGGTCCTGCCTGAGCACCAGCAGCTATTTAACAATGTTTACATGATACTTTTGTGTCAACTATATTTTTTTAAACATAATAAACAGTGAATCAAGTTGAATACAGCCATTCTCAAATGGCACTGAGAAAGAGCTGAGCTGTTCTGGTTCCTCCTCGTGTCCGTGGTCCGCAGGAGCCACTGTGCCCTCAGAGCGGGGTCCGGCAGTGGAACAGCGATGTGGCTCCTGCAGCTGGGGCCTTGCCTGAAGGAGAGCCCAGCCTGCTGCACTGGCATTGCCCAGGCCACCCATTGTTCCAGCAGGGCTGCTCCAGCTCTGGCTCACCCTGAACTCGGCTGCAGCACAGCAGGGCTGCTGCAGGTGCAGTGTCTGGCCATGGGGGCTGGCTCTCAGCCACTCAGGTGCTCTTCTCCACAGAACTCACACTAAAACCTGCTCCTTCTCATACAATCCCAGAGGAATTAAGAATTGCTGGCCTTAAAAAATAAACTCATGACTTGTCACAGCTCTGCACAGGGACCAAATTCCTCTTTTGGTTCAGACACAAGTTTGAGTGCAGGGAAAGGCAAGAGAAACAGGACAAAGGAAAAGCTGTTCCTAAATAATGCATTAACTAAGGCCTTGATGCACAGAGCTGCAGTGTCCCTGCACACACACAGAGTGCTGCCACTGCCTACAGTTGGCCACGTTTGAGCTTGCAAGTTCTTTGTTTGAGAAACATAGGACCAAAGCACTTGCTTTGAGGAAAAAAGCCTTTAAGAATAACAAATCTTGTAACCAAGAAGGCAGTATCTGGGCCTGGAGGTTCTGCCTGACCCCAACACCTCAGACTTGTTTCAGAGGTTAGTTTTAAAATCAAAATCCACCTTCTCCTCCTGCAGTGCACAGTGTGGAGGTTATGGAGGTGACAGCCAGTGACCACACTGAGGTGACAGATCCGTCATCCCCCCTGGGAATCAATGGCAGGCCCCATTACCAGAGGCTCCCCTTTCCCATCCCTGAGGCTCAGGGGAGCTCCCAGATCTCTGAGCAGCCAAAGCACCAGCCCTCAGTTTGGCTGCCTTGTGTGAGGAACTAAGTGGCACAAAACCTGAGTCCTGTTGAGCAGAGAGCCTCAGTCCTGTGTGCAAGTCCATTGTAGCCTCTTACAAGTGTTGACAAAGACTTTTTAAATGTGTCTCAGATCAAAAAGAGAAATGGGTTTGGCATGGCCAGGCACTGCAGGGCTGTCCTGATCCCTGTCCCCCTTGGCCTCTGCAGTTCTCACTGATGGTGTGTCAGCAGCCTGAAGCAGAAATTGTTTTCCCCCCAATGCTGCTTAATTAAGAGCAGCACAACACAAACCCAAAGCAGGGCAGAAAGGTGCTGCCCCTGGGCAGGAACCCTGCCTTAGGAGGGAAGGGCAGGAGCTGCTGCTGGGTGCAGACTGGCCCTTAGCTCAGTCGGTGTCAAGGGCAGCAGCAGCCTCAGGGTGCTCCTCACTCAGTTTTTGGGTGCATAAAGCAGGCCCTGAGAGCTGGGACACCCAGAATGTTCTGTGTGGGATCAGTGGCCTGGCTGTGCACGGGCCCCAGACTGAGCCTTGGTCCCTCCCATGCAGGGCAGGCCCTGGCTGTGGAGCCCTTTGTGTCCTGCCCTGCCCTGGGTGGGGGCGTTGGACACTGGGATGTGCCCAGTCCTGGCACAGGGGCTTGTTCATCGCCTGCCCTTAACAGGGGGATCGGGATCCAGCCTGGCCTGGGTGCTGTGTGGGACACCCAGAAATTGCCCCTGAACACGAAGCCCATCCTCTGCCCCAGCGCAGCCAGAGGAGAGGCTGGCAGTGTCTGTGGGGTGGTTGAGTTTTGGTCAGCCTCAGTGAGTGGCTGAGTTTTGGCAGCCTCTGGGGGTGGCTGAGTTTTGGCCAGCCAGGGGCACCCAGCCGAGCCCAGCAGGGCTCTGGGCACCGAGCTTGGGGCCATGGAGCTGCCCCAGCCCCCACACCAAGCTGTCCCTGGGTTGTGTTTGTGTCACACGTCCTGCCCCGTGGAGCTGTCAATGTGACAATGCTGTGCAATGCTGCTACAGGAGCCACATGTCAGTAGTGAATGTAAATGGTCGTTACATGGTGAACATGGACACGTTTTCTTTTCAAATGTGATGTAAACTTTGTACAGTACAAATTTTTTTTTATATTTTCTATGAACTGAGTGTCTTCCAGAATTGCTATTAAATTAATTACAACTTGTTAGAATTAACAACAGTTTCTGTATTAGTTTATGCAACCAGGAAAAAAAAAAGAAAAAAAAAGAGTGCACTCCATGCTACTGGAATTCTGGATATGTAGGAATCTTTTCAGTGAATAAATCTTTGGTCTGGATAAAGCAAGTGTTACTGAGTCCTGGTTTGACCTCTCCTCCCACTGCCTTGTAGCTGAACCACAACAGGAGCAGATTCCCACAGAGACCCCCAGCACAGCAGCTCCTCCACCCCTCTGCTCCCTGCCCGTTCCCTGAGGGACACCAGGCGATCTCCCCCTGCAATTACCGAAGTTTTCCCTCCCAGATAGGATGAGTTACGTTATTAAATGGTTAATACAACCACCACGGAGTTTTCTCGAGGCACTGAACTGTTTAAGAAGCTGCTTCCCTCCCAAGAGCAGCACTCGAGGCCATTCTGGCCCCCCAGCACCTTCTCTGTCCTTTGCTCAAGGTCCTGCCACCACCTGCAGTGGGGCAGAGCTCTGCCACAGACCCGGCCCTCCCCACTGCAGGGCAATTACCGGCTGTTAATTAATCCCAGGAAGGTTCTGCTGCTGCCAGCAGCTTTGTGCCATCCTGCCAGGAATGGGCCAGGGCATCATAAAAGCACAGTCTTACATCTCATCCATCTTATCTACATCTCACATGCAAGCAATAAAAAGCTTAAGATAAGCTGAGCTTTGTTGTCTTTTATAAAGAATAAGAAATAATAAATTTAATTCTCAATTATATTTGAAGGGCAGAGATGTTTCATTTAACAAACCAAAGCACACAAACTGCGGTCCCCCAGCACAAAGGCTCTGCCCTGGCTGTGACTGGAGCAGTTTGACGTTTCCCTGCTCAGAGCTGTACCCCAGAACTGCCCCAGGAGGCCCCAACATCGGGGTCCCTCTGCCCTGGGAGAGCCACAGGAACAGGAGCAGGCAGCACACACCCCCCAGCAGAGACAGACCCAGCACAAAGGGAGCATTTCCAGCCCCTGCCAGCTGCACTGCATGCAACGCTTGAGGGCATCCAAAACCCCCACAGCCAACAGGAACATTTGGCCAGCCCAGCTGGGTGCTTGACAGCAAAACATCCCAGAGCAGCCACAGAAATGGGGGTTCACTCGGAGGAGGCACCAAATAACAACTCACAAAGCACAGCTCGGGCTCCAAACGAACAGACTGCAGCAGGGTCTGGCCTCAGCCTCGGTCAGCCTGCTCCTCCCAGCAGAGGCAGCAGCGCCAGCCCTGGCTCCCAGCAGCGCTGCTGGGCAGCAGAACCCCTCTGCACACGGACAGTGTAACACAGCATTACCAAAACACCAAGGACAAGAAAAAGCCTCTCACTTACCTGGCCTCACTGCCTCCAGGGCCCAGAGCTCCACAGCCATGCACATCACCCCGACACAAGCAGCATCTGCCACACCCGGCCCCACAGACCTTTGCTGGCCCTTGTGAGCCTCAACTGTCCCTAACGAGCCTCAGGTGTTCCTAATGAGCCTCAGGTGTTCCTAACGAGCCTCAGGTGTCCCTAATGAGCCTCAGGTGTCCCTAATGAGCCTCAGGTGTTCCTAATGAGCCTCAGGTGTCCCTAATGAGCCTCAGGTGTTCCCAATGAGCCTCAGGTGTTTCCAATGAGCCTCAGGTGTCCCTAATGAGCCTCAGGTGTTCCTAATGAGCCTCAGNCCTAATGAGCCTCAGGTGTTCCTAATGAGCCTCAGGTGTTCCCAATGAGCCTCAGGTGTTCCTAATGAGCCTCAGGTGTGCCTAATGAGCCTCAGGTGTCCCTAATGAGCCTCAGGTGTTTCCAATGAGCCTTAACCATCCATCATCCCCCAGCCCCTGCCTGTCCCTATCAGCCCCCAGCTCTCCTGCATTTCCCTGGTGCAGAGCCCAACCTTCTCTCACTTCCCTGCACTCATGGGCTCTGTCCACACGTTCCCTTCCTTTTCCTTCAGTCAACAGTGTTATGAAAATCAGGCTCCAAGTATATCCCAATGTCAGACTGCTCCCCAAAGCCCAGGAATGCACCCTGCACACTCAGGGGTGGAGGGCAGCCAGCAGTGCTCCTGTGCTGCCAGCCCAGCCCAGCTCCTGGGGGTTTTACCAGCACCCAAAACCAGGTACAGAATGAGGCTAAGAGTCTGTCTGCACCTCAGCGCCCTGGCACATGGCTTGTTATGGATGCTGCATTCCCTTAAAGCCATATAAATTTGGCTTAAATATCAATGAAAAAAGCCACTAATTGCTTCAGAAAGTGTTAATCTGCAACTCCCAGTCCAGTCCCAGCCCAGCAAGGTGCACAACCACCTCAGCCCAGTTCCAGGGGCCAAGGGCTGTCCTGAAGCATGTGTGAAACACACTGTTCACACACAGAACTGCTGACTTTGGAGTCGCAACTCTGCCTTCATCAATTCCAGCTCCTGGAGATGAGGGATGGCAGGAAAATCTCACCTTTTTAATATGCTCAAATAGTCCTGGTAATTTCAGAGAAGGAACTATTTCTGATGTAACTGCAACACCTAGAAAGAGCCCGAGTCCAAATACAACGAGGGCAGTTTCAGGCCAGTCTCACTCCCTGGTGCAAACTCACACTTGCCTGGCAGTAACAAACATACAAAACTGCTGATAGGCAGACTGTAACTGCTGGAGATGCCCTTAGCTCAGGGAGCAGCCAAACCCACCTCACCACAGCCTGGGAGCTGCTTGTTACCTCTGCCTTTGCAGGCTGGAGCCAAGAGCAAGAAGAGGTTCACTGATCCACATCCTTTGTGTGAGTATAAAGACAGATTTATTACAAACAAATCAAGTAAACCAGAGCATAGAATTCAAATGTACAAAGTGCTTTGGAATTTTTGGAACCTTCCTGCTGTAGGCTCTGTAACAACAACAGCTGATGTTCGTGTACCTGAGTCCCACAAAGCACAGCTCCCCACTGCTGCCTGCTGAGCAGACACATCTGAGGTGATGCAGCCGGTGGTGCCACTTGGGGACCAGCACATTATTATTTCATTTGCAAACATTGCTCCAGATCCAGGCACGTGGCCAGACAACTCCCAGCAACACAACCATGCATTCACTTGTTTTCAATTTCAAGTGAAGATAATATGCAAGTAAACCAATCTGATATAAATAAGGTCACAAAGATAAACAGTACATTTAAAAAAAAGATTTCAGCTCCAGGTAACTTAGTACAAAACTGTAATTTTCCTAATATGTATAAAAACCACCAGATTATACTAGCATAGATGGTATTAAAAAAATAATTTGCACTTTCACTATTAAGGTAATGTATTAAAATGTCAGAATAAATAGCAATAAAAGTTAAATTTAATATTTTACTTAATTAAGGCTGAGGTTTATTAGTCAAACCCTACAATCCTATACCCATGCATGATTGAACAAGTATAAGAAGGAGGATTTGGCTCTTTGTTTTTTGAAAATAACAACAAATGTGCAAGTATTGTCTAAAACACAAGTGGATTTGTTCTTCAGCTGGTGGGTTGCAAAGCTCTTTTGACTTCATGTGGGAACACAGCCCCGAATATATCTTCATGGTATCGCTTTTGGCTCTGCAAAAAGAAAGGACACCCAAGAGATGAATGAAATGCTGCCAGCTACTCCTTATTCATCAGTTCAGTAACTAAAAGGCCTTTTGCATTAGTAGCACTGGTTCTGTGATTGTAGATTTTATTACTGCCAGTGAAAGGGAGCTCCCTGAATCTGGGGCACAAATGCACCAGGACGAGTTGTGATAACAAGAGGGTCTGAAAAAGCAGCAGCCCCAGGCACGGGGTTCTTAGTGATGGGCCCACAAAATTCCTGAACTCACTTTCCCTCTGTTGGTACAATAAAACCTCAAATCCCAACACCCTGCAAAGCTGATCCCCAGGACCCCCTGTGCAAGAGCAGAGTCCCTCTCTCACCCTGACCGAACAGAAGCCGCGCTGGCAGTGCAGGGACACCGGGCTGCTCCCTCAGAGCTCACACACGGGAGCCCATGGCAGGCCCAGGCTGCTCCCTCAGAGCCCGGCCCTGTGCTTGCACACACGGGAGCCCATGGCAGGCACAGCGGTGCTGCTCCCTCAGAGCCCGGCCCTGTGCCGGCACACACAGGAGCTCACGGGCTGCTCCCTCAGAGCCCGGCCCTGTGCCGGCACGCACAGGAGCTCACCACAGCCCCAGCACCCGAGCCCGGCCGTGCCCCGCCCGCCGATGAGCGCTACCTTGAGCTGCTGGAGGTACTCGTTCGCCTGCTGCGGGCTGAGGCGCAGGGCCCGGGCGAGCAGCGCCCGCAGCGCCGCGGCCACGTCCCGCGCCATGCGCACGTCCCCACACACGTAGACGTGGCCCTGCTGCCCGTGCAGCGCCTCGCACACGCGGGCCTCCAGCTGCCCCTGCAGCACGTCCTGGACGTAGACCTGGGAACACAGAAACCATCAGCACACCCGGCTGCTGAAACGCTGCTCTGGCTGCTGGCTCTTCGGAGTCCATCGTGGGTCTGAGCACCAAGTGCCCCGTCTGCTCCAGCTCTGTCCTGCACCACAGCAAGGGTGAAAAATGCCTTCAGGGTGCCCTTTACAAGCCCAGGTTTGGAAGCTGAGCCTGTCTCTTGATCAAACTTGAGCAGACAAAAACTCTTGTACATGCCAGTGTCTCTGAACTGCCAGGAGAGCTAAAAAGAGGATAACTTTTATTCTGTTGTGTTTTTTCCCACTCAAGATTCTTCTACATGAAATTAATTTCCATGGTCACTGTGTCATTGAAATGGGGGAAAATGGCCAGTGCCAACTCATTTCTAACTCATGGGCTAATCAAATCCTGCAAAAGACAAGGTTTCTGAAAATGTTCCAGTTCTAGTTCCAAAGGCTGATATGGCATATAGGATATGCCTCTCTATGGCAGTGAAGCAATTTATTTATAGCAATTTATAGCACAGTTTGCTTGTGCTGGAGTGCACAGGGAGATTTTCCTTCATTTGAAGAATCTCAAACCTGCTCACAATACGCTGAAGCAAAATGCTAACATTTTTTAAGAACTAAAAGAGTCCAGATCTTAACTTGAGGGATGATTGTGGAGGAGTTGAGAACAAAGGAACCAGCCTTACCTTCTCTTGGCCGGGCAGTCTGGAGTAAGCTGTGTAGACATCTCTCAGGACTCCCCTCCTCTTCATCTCCTCAGTCTCCTCCCTGTAGATGTGATCCAGGTCTGGCTGCCGGCAGCCGAACAGCAAGGTCATGTCCCCTCCTCTGAGCCCTGAAACCCGCAGGGACAGAGGCACTCTGAGAGCCTGGGCAGCCACTGGCACACAGGACTGGCACACAGGCTGTGCCCTCCTGGTCCCCAAAGGACCCCTGCCCACGGGAATGGTCTCTGGGGGATGGACTGGCTGTGCCAGTGCAGTGCCCGATGAGCTGGGGTGCTGATCCCTGCAGGGGCTCTGGGCTGGCCTTTGGGGGTGCCTGTGCTTGCAGAGCCCATGGCTGCAGGGCTGGGGGTCCCTGAGCCAGCCCTGCCCTGTGGGGGCCTGAATATATGTTGTATTGTAAGACCTTGTGGTTCTGAGTTGCTCCAAACGAGCTGCAGCTGCAGGGTCCTTAGTTGGGCAGCAGCTGTGGCTCGTGAAGGTAACTGAGGAAGAGAGACAGGACTGTGCTGCAGAGAAAGGAGAAGAGCCCCAGCAGAGAGGGAAGAACAACATTGCAGCAAAGATTACAACAACTGGTGACCCCGACGTGATGACGAACACACAACCAAACATCAAAGGAAGGTATGGAATCCCCTGGACAGCCGAGAGCTGTGGCAGCCTGAGAGCTGGGACTATGGAATATCAGCCAGAGAGCTGGGATTTTGGAGTATCAGCCAGAGAGCTGGGACACTAGAAATGTAACAACAAGAAGTGGTAGAAGATAGGACAGCTGAGAGCTGTGGCAGCCTGAGAGCTGGGACTGTATAGGGATATGTATATATTCTATGTATGTATCTAAAGAGAGCCGAGAGCTGTGGCAGCCTGAGAGCTGGGACTGTATAGGGATATGTATATATTCTGTGTGTGTATCTAAGACAGCTGAGAGCTGTGGCAGCCTGAGAGCTGGAACTGTGTGTATATTATAATTGTATAATTGTTAAAAGAAAAGGGGGGAAATGT